GTTTCTTCTTTTTTTTTTTTTTTTTTTTTTTTTTTTTTTTAGGTTTTTTTTATCTTTGAATCTGAAGTGTCTCTCCTGTAGATAGCACATAGTTGAATCTCTCTTTTTTTTTTTGAGACGAAGTATTGCTCTGTTCCTCAGACTGGATTGCAGTGGTGTGATCTCAGTTCACTGCAACCTCCGGCTCATGGGTTTTCAAGTGATTCTCCTGTCTCAGCCTCCTGAGTAGCTGGGATTGCAGGTGCACACCACCACCCTCAGCTAATTTTTGTATTTTTAGTAGAGATGAGATTTCACCATGTTGGCCAGGCTGGTCTCAAACTCCTGACCTCAGGCAATTTGCCCGCCTGGTTCTTCCAAAGTGCTGGGATTACAGGCGTGAGCCACTGCGCCTGGCAAGAATTTTCAAAACTAAAACATTAACAGCCTATTTTATGTTATTTTTAGTAGTTACGTGAGAGAAAGAGAGGAGTGTGTGTGTGTGTGTGTGTGTGTGTGTGTGTGTATGTGTGTGTGTGTGTGTATTTGAGGGACATGGTTCAAGACTTTATAAAATTTTTGACTTTGTGTTTAAACAAAAATGAAGCTGGAAGTGCTTCTCTCCAGCCTGCCACCCCCACTAACTTAAGAACCAAAAAATTAATTCTGAACTATCAAGAGCATGTTTCTAGTTACATGTGCGGTTTTAAATAAAATTTTCATTATAGAAGATAACATTTCTCTTATTTTTTGCCACAGTATTTTATTGATTGTCTACCTACACAGTTTACCTAAGAAAATAACGAAGCTTACAAAAGATATAATCCATAAACATTATTTTAGTATGTCTATATTGATTTATTGTTGAAGTCCTACTTACTGTATGTTCAAAGTTCCTTCCTAAGCCAATGGGTTTTGGGATTATCTTTAAAGATTAGAAATATAATCTTATAAAACTTAAGAAGTATTTACATAAATGCTAATAATGAGAGTCTAGTACTAGTCAGTGTTTATATGTGTGCTTTAGATCACAAATCTACATGGACTGTAGATATACATTATAATCACAATGTCTATAAAGAATAGAGAATCTGCCTCAGCCAAGTTCTGAACCAGAACTTTGGGCATGCACCTGGGGTTCTATATTTTAAAGTACTACTTTGGTCCTTAAGTGCATTACAGTTTGAGATTTACTCCAGCTACCAATTGCATCATGCTTGGATCCATGTATCTAAGATATTTCATGGTCATTGAAGTTTGTCTGTGTGTATCCTAGAAGCTTTGAAATCATTTTGACATTTAGTATTCATATTAGAATTAACTCAGTATTTTTCATAGACATCTGTAAATAGTATTTTTGGAAGTTAATGTCTTGCTAATATGTAGAAACTAAGCTAAATAGTTGCAGTGAAATTGTTTCTCAACTGGAGAAAAAGATATCCTTTCTTCATCCTTTTTAAAAATACCTGAGCCCTGGACCTACTTCATACTAATTAAATCATAATATGTAAAGAATATGCTGAGCGTGAATATATTTTAAAAGTGTTTCAAGTGTTTTGAATGTATAGCTGCAACTGTAAAACAGATATCTATGCTAATGACCAAAAGGAGCAATGATATTGCTAATCCAAAAATCACTTATGTTTGGCTTGAGAATCTGTAGTACTCAAAACCACTTACCTGGGAGGATGAGATAGCTCAGGAGCTCAAGACCAGCCTGAGCAACATAGCGAGACCCTTTCTCAAAACAAAGCAAAAACAAAAACTACATACTAAAAGTATGGCAATGTAGCATCCAAATCCTGTTTCCCTAACTGCATTGTCAAGGAATTCACAATCAAAGTTCTTTAGGCAAAAAACATTTTCCCTGGATATCCCATTTGTCTATTAGAGAGGGAATAATTTTTCTTAAAGGGCCTTTTTTTTTTTTTTTTTTTGTCTGAGTTTACCAGCCTGGTGTAAAGTACTAATTGGGGAAGTTTAAGTGCTAAGAAGAATGGAATTTTGAATTTTTCATAAGGACAGAACAGTGAACTAATTGATTTGTATGATTTTTGCTTTTATAAGCAACTCAAGTGTAATTAATAATAATAAATACATTCTTAATTACACTTGAGTTGCTTATAAAAGCCAAAAAGTTGGCCGGGTGCAGTGGCTCACACCTGTAATTGCAGCACTTTGGAAGGCTGAGGCAGGTGGATCACGAGGTCAAGAGATCGAGACCATCCTGGCCAACATGGTGAAACCCTGTCTCTACTAAAAATACAAAATTTAGCTGGGCGTGGTGGCATATGCCTGTAGTCCCAGCTACTCAGGAGGCTGAGGCAGGAGAATTGCTTGAACCCAGGAGGTGGAGGTTTGCAGTGAGCCAAGATCACGCCACTGCACTCCAGCCTGGCACNAAAAAAAAAAAAAAAAAAAAAGCCAAAAATCCAAAAGTTTCCCCAAAAGGGAAACTTTTCTAGAATGGGGCTCTGTTCATGTGGGACATCAGAATTCATGTATTTTAAATCATATAAAAATTTTGCAGATAAAATTAATATTATAGAAAGTACTCAACTCTGTGACATGGATTATAATTTAGGTTCCAAAACACTTTCTGATTCTTCTAAAGGGAAAATCTTAATGTTATTGCTGTTTGTTTAAATAAAATATGTCCTATACTACCCACGTCTTTTGCCCAGCTTGTTATAGAAAGTCATGAAGAATAATTTCATTTTTTTTATATTTAAGTGAAGCAATATCTATAATCTCAAATTCATTGTATTTTCTTATGCTTCTCTTTTAGATGTACATTGAAGATGTCAGTTTCTACATGTGGGAAGTAGACATTAAAGGCTTTATGGTTTACAGACAAGATTTTTAGAAGTTAAGCACTAAAGGTAATTAATAACTGTAGCCTCATATGTAATTTTATTTACATGGTTAGGATTGTCAGATTATAATTCTACTTGTTAAACTTGTTAAGTTTTTATCACTGGCCCTGTCTAAGTTACAACTGCATTCATTCATATTCAGACACAAATTTTTATGCCATAATATCATCTTGACAGAAAGTGTCAGATTTCATTTGTAATAAGTGGTTGATTTAAAAAATGATAAATTATAATGCACAAGTGCAAACCAACTCAGAATAAAGAATAAACAAAGTAACTTGTATCAGACCTGTGAATACACCTTAGCAGAATTTAATGTGAAAAAATAATTAAACAAAAAACTATCATCCACTGCACTGTTTTCATGTATTTATTAATCAGTCCCTTTAACAAGTTAAGAGCTTGTTCTTTATCCACTCCAAAAAACTCTCCTAGTTTCATATACTCATAACATTATTACCCCTGAATACCAAACCTTTTCATTTTGTCATGGCTCCCCCAAAATTTCTCTTTACCTAGCTTATTTTTTCACATAACATGTTCTGTTCATGTCCCCCATGAGTGCTTACATACTTACATGACAAAATTTCTGACCACATTTTGTTAAAATTTCAAGTGAGCTACAAGGGGGAACAAACCTCCAAAAACAGTACTTTAATGTTGCTTGCCAAATGGGGCCAATGGAAGCCTGGACAGTATGTGACCTGTGAACTGGGTGCACCTGTTCAGTTCTAGGATCCTTGCTAAATGGGGATGAGATGCTGTAAAATCAATTCTTAGTAGTTTTTTTATTTTTTAAGAACAGAAATAGATTTGAAAAATCCTTATTTTTCAATATCAGCATAAAATTTTTCCTTTGGAAAAAAGTCTACTTTTGCTACTACATAAGCCACGTAAAACAGTTTACAGCCTCTGGTGTAGGAGTGTTTTTTTCTTTGTTCTATTTTTCTTTGTGCTTTTAGAATGCCAGTACTTAGAGTCTATTTTTTTCTCCTTAATTTTTGGTTAACTGTTTAATGATTTTTGCTAGTTTTCTATGATGAATATTAATGTCAGAAATGACTTCTCTTTAAAAAAAAGTGGTATTACTTATTTCTAATTCATTTTTGTAGGTATATATGGTGACTTGGTTATTTGGAGTAGCTATTCAAGTGTTTTCTGAATTATAATGATTACGTCTACGGCCATACCACCCTGAACGCACCCGATCTCGTCTGAATTATAATGATTAGATAACTATTTTTATAGTTTGTCTTCTCCACAGTCTAAATCAAATCCTTATAGTGAAAATTTATATGTAATATATTATGCACACACACACATACACATTTTTATATACATATATATATAAATAATAAATATAATATATCACACATATATTTCTTTTATTTTAAGAGATGTAGTCTCTTTAAGTTGCCCAAAATAGATTTGAGCTCCCAGGCTTGAGCAGCCCTCCCATCTCAGCCTATCAAGCAGCTAGGACTACAGGTGTGTGTTAACCATGCCTGGCGCTTTCTGGTTTTTGTTGTTATTGTTGTTTGTTTGTTTCTTTGAGACAGGGTCTTATTTTGTTGCCCAGGCTGGAATACAGTGGCACAGTCATGGCTAACTGCAGCATCGACCTCTTAGGCTCAAGCTACCTCAGCCCCCCAAAGTGCTGGGATTCCAGGCATGTGCCAACTCACATCTTTTTTGTTTTTTAATGGACCTTTTACACAAAGAGAAAGCAGAGTTAATCACACTCTTAGGTTCTTGGGGCACTATCATTACTGGCTCATGCAAAACACTTCTTGTTTTATTTATTTATAAATTTTCCAGTCTCATTCCCCCACCCTTGACCCATAGGAAATCATTCTAACACGATATTCTAAAATAATATCTATTGTATGGTCCTATTTTGTTTATCTATTTGTAATATGAGTATTGTTTTGTATGCATACATTTTTAAATTTTTATATGAGAAATTTCAAATAAATAAAAAGGAAAAGGGAGAAAATTATGAACCGCCATGTGTCTATATGTCAGCTTCAACAGTTATCATCTTAAGTTGTAATTTGTTTTACCTCTGACCTCTCCTCACCCTGACATATTACAATTACAATTTTTTATACATTACAATGTGTTTCCACCATTTTCAATATTTAAGTTTTTGCACACTTTGAATGTGTTTTCTGAATTTATTTTGAATTTTTTCTTACTAAAAAGAAACAAACTGGATATTTATATGTCTCCCCTACAAAGAATCTTGTACATTCTGAGATCCCTTTGTCTCTTCATCTTCTCCTACCCCATCATTTTGCTACTATCTACTTTAAATCTTAAACCATTATGCCCATATGTTCTCCTTTTCTTAGCTGTTTGCTATTTTAAAAAACAACAAATTTTGCCAAGATATTTTATCAGCATGGCTTCACACATCTTTTAATTATCTTCCGTATTTGTTTCTATTTAAGCATTTTTATCGAAAACTGTCTTTGGAGCTTTTGTATGCTTGGATATATATGTCGTCATAGCCTCATATTTGAATGACTGCATTGCCATATGTAAAAATCTAGGTTTTAAGATTTTTCCTTCAATATTTTGTAAATCCATGATCTTCCCTAGTCACCATTGTAAAAAAATTTTTTAAATAAATTTAAAAAAATAAAATCCATAATCTTTTTGTCCTGTTCAACTCCATCATTCCATCAAATACATCCTTCTTAATATTTTTCTTTTTCTTTTTTGTTTTGTTTTTATGAGACACAGTCTGGCTGTGTCACCTGGCCTGGAGGGCAGTGGCGCAATCTCAGCTCAACCTCCTCCTCTTGGGCTCCAGTGATCCTCCCACCTCAGCCTCATGAGTAGCTGAGACTGCAGGCACACGCCACCACCAGCACCCCCGCCCCCACCCACCGGCTAATTTTTGTATTTTTTGGTAGAGATGGGGTTTTGCCATGTTAGCCAGGCTGGTCTTGAACTCCTGGCCTCAAATGATCTACCCACCTTGGCTTCCCACAGTGCTGGGATTATAGGCGTGAGCCACCACACTCAGCCTAGTTTTCTTTCTGAGTCTCCTGTTATTCAGATGTTAGCACTGCCAATCCCTTAGCCTTTCGTTTATATTTTCTTTTTTTTTTTCTTTGAGACAGAGTCTTCCTCTGTCACCCATGCAAGACTTCAGTGGCGCAACCTTGACTCACTGCAACCTCCGCCTCCCAGGTCCAAGCAATTCTCCTGCCTCAGCCTCCTGATTAGCTGGGATTACAGGCGCCCACCACCATGCCCAGCTAATTTTTGTATTTTTTAGTAGAGACTGGGTTTCGCCATCTTAGCCAGGCTGGTCTCAAACTCCTGACATTGTGATCAGGAGGTCTCTGTCTCCCAAAGTGCTGGGATTACAGGTGTGAGCCACTGTGCCCAGCCTATATTTTCTATTTCCTTGTTCTTAGGTTTGAAGATTTCCTCAAACTGATCTTCGGATTCATTTACTCCTCGCTTAAATTCTATTATTTATCTAGTCTATAAACTTCAAGTATTATTTTTGTACATAATATTTCTGCTTGCTTCTTTGTTCTCTTGTTCTTATTATATGCTGCTAATATCTTCCCTTAGCTCTTTTAGTATGTTTACTAGGCTTATTTTAAGTTCTTGGGCCATTAGATCTAATATTTCTGCTTCTCTTAGAATCTGTATGCCAATAGTTTATTTTTCTTTGAAAACAGTTGTGCTTCTTCAATGTCTTGATATGTTAACCTATAAGATAATTTTCCTTTGGGGATATTAGCTACTATGACATCACACATGGGAAGAGAACAGCACCCAGTCTGTGTCATTTTCAGTGATCTCAGAGAATGGAAGGTAGGTAGAAAAGCCCCAGGCTACATAAGAAATCACAGTTAATTTATCAAGTCTACAAAGTGACACCTCAGGTCTCTGCTTTACCATCTCTCCCCTCCTCCCTGATCCTATCAGGGAGAACAGCATCCAAAGCTATTAATTGTAATTTACCAGCTTTATGATTTAGCAGGAAAGGGCAGAGAAATTCCTGCCTAAGGTTCATCTCTACCTGTTTTCCTCAGCTTTTTATAAGTACTGTTCACTCCTGAGGGCATTTGGACTATAGTCTGAATCCCTGTAGATATGGGAACAGTAAGTTTCTGACTCAAGTCAGGGAAGAATCAAAAGAATCAAATAATGCTAAATGTGATATTTAGCATTATTTGCATATCTCTATTAAAGTACTTCTCAGACTGTAATTATTTCTTTACCTCTATTACACATAGAATGTTAGGGCAGAGAAAAGGATGACAAGCACTGGCAGTTGGATCACTGGTTTAGTTTCAGCATAGTACTAGAATGAAAGCTAAAAACAATAAAGAATGAGTGATATGGTTTGGCTGTGTTACCACCCATATCTCATCTTGAATTCCAGTGTGTTGTGAGAGGAACCCAATGGGAGGTAATTGAATCATGAGGATGGGTCTTTCATGAATAAGTCTGACGAGTTCCGATGGTTTTAAAAATGGGAGTTTCCCTGCACAGGGTGTCTTTTTGCCTTCTGCCATGATTGTGAGGCCTCCACAGCCATTTGGCACTATAAGTCCACTAAACTGTTTTTTCTTCCCAGTCTTGGGTATGTCTTTATCAGCAGCATGAAAACAGACTAATACAATGAGTAAAAGGAAAGAGTAGAAGCAGTCACAATCCTTTCATGTAATTTGTGAACAAGAGGGTAGATGCAGCATCATGGAGGAAAAACTTTACAGTGCTTTGAATATTGCCAAACTCAAATTGCCCTTAAAAAAGTAAAGAGAAATTAGAAGAGTCATGAAGAAAAGAGCCCCAAATTAAAATAAAGACTTATGATTATTTAATAGCAGGACATTTTGCTATTGTGATTTGGAGAAAGTAAGTCCCCTTTTTTTCTTTAGAGTTTTTAACCAACTTGAGAAAAGACACAAAGAGTCAGATGGGAAGACAACTAAATCTAGACATTTAACAAAACCTTAATAGTGATCGTTATC